AGCTGTTACATTATCAAAGATGTTCAAGCCTATGTCTGTGATTTTTATGTATTACAGGCAGACTTATCTAAGCACCAGAGTGAATCTGTTGCACTGCGAATTTAGAATCGCTTCAAGATTCACAATAAAGCTATGACTTGAGTGCTTACTTGAGAAGATAGCATCGTGATTAACGTCACGGAGCTTCAATGCATTTCGATTAGGTACTCAAAGAGGGGGGGGGGGCTAGGGAATGGCATTGGATAATGGTTATGGGCAAAATACTTCATGGTCATTGTTTCATCCGTTATCGCGCGAACTGCAGCTGTGCAACTAAAACATGTTCTCATTGTATGTGCATTGAACATCGCCCTCCGTATGTTTAGTTATGTGCGGTACACTCTAACTCTACAAACATGCTGTGAACATTGCCGAAAATACCATGGGTGCATTCATAATTCCGTTCGGGTAGGCATTAGTTTCCAACTGATAAGGGCGGCTGCTTTGTAGTTCGGAACAAAGACGCTCATGTAACACACGATCTTAAGTTATGAAGTAATACAGCTCAGCACAAATGGGAGCCGCCCAACCCAGAAAATGACAGCGGCCCATTCTTCAATGCCTCCCATTTACGATAGACATGATTCATTTCGAATCGTTGGAGGCCATTTTTCGAATGATAATCGTTGACCATCGTCACGATGCGTTGTCCCTGTCGGAATTTCTGATCGCCGATAGCACGCGACAAAATCGATGGGCACCGCTGGCGGGCGAGCCTTTAGCAAGGGTTCGTGAACGGGTCCCCAAAGAGGACAGTCACGACAGAAGCAGCTGATCAGGCTGATTGAGAAACAAAACCGGGAGTCAGTCATTGATAAATTGGACGTTGAACTTCTGTTCATGTCCTACTTTCCAGTGAAAGAAATAGAATTACTGATCACCATCTGGGAAATACCGACGGGGACAGCATGGATATAGCGTAGCATGCTATGTCTTCGTGGCCGATGAAATGTGAAATAACCTACTGGTACCTATCGTATCAAACGACTTATGTGCGATTAGTTGATGGTTTTGTGTAATGCTTCCAGTAGTTCAGCGCGATAACACTCAGACCGAGCTTCGCTACACCGATTCTTAAATCGATACCACCATTTACCAAATCACAAACGTGATGCACCCACTCACGGACATAACTTTCAAACAGGAGCCATGATGACAGGAGTGAGTCGCTTCTTTCAGGGCTTGCTACAGTGGAATGGACAGCTGACTGATGTAGGGACTGACACAATGAAAAGGGTGACTGTTGTCGGGGGACTGACAGTATGACAGATGGGTGACTGCTGTCAGAGGCTCACACAATGACAGGGATGACTGTTGTCAGGGCCTAACACCATGAAAAGAGCTGACTGAAGTGGGGTCTGAACCAATGACAGATAGGTGACTGCTGTCAGGACCTGACCAAACGACAAGAGCTGGCTTATGTAGGGTCTCATACAATGGCAGGGGCGACTGCTGTCCTGACAATGACAGGGGTGACTGCTGGTAACACCAGCACAGACAGTAGCCCCCCCCCCCCCAGCACTCAGGTGTCGCGGACCGCCTCCACGGCACCGGATGGGGTCAGTCACGCCCCGCACCTCACGGCAGCCCTCCTGAGGGGCGTCGGACAGACGGCGGCGCCCGTCTCATAAATTACCCCACCTGTCCCCTCCTATCGGCGAACAAGCCGCTCCAACAATTATCGTCCGATTTTATTATACGTACCCGTCGTCGGATGGCGGTCATAAATTCTACGCGCGGCCCGTTCGGCCGTAATTTTATATGAAGCCGAGCCTAATCGTACCATTCAGGAGAAGATTTATTGGAGGAGACCGCCCGTTTGAAGTCGGCGACCGGGCAGCGCGCCGCCGGTAGACGAACCTGGCGCGGCGCCGCGCCGTCATCGTCACAGCCGCGCCGACATCGCCGCTGGCGCGCCGTCACCGCCTGTCATCGGATGGAGGGTGCTGACGGGATGTTTAAGTGGTCCCCTCTGCCATTCGGTGTCATAAAGGGAGGAACAGTGGTGATATTTAATTTGAGTAGAACGAATGGAAATGAATTAGAATGGCAGGTAGGTAGGTTTCACTTTGAGGATTGCTGCTCTCAGAGGTGCGATAAGAGGGGCCCACAGCTCTATTGATATATAGTAAACTTTTAATTAATTTAACTTACCCGGCAAAGTTAATTGGATCCAACATTTAACATTTGAATAGCAAGTTTGGCCCTGCGATATTCGCAAGCATATCAAGCTCCTTGCTGACATTTTTTTATTCAAAGACCATTCTTGAAACAAATGTCTTTTTTGGGGTGCAAAGCCAGCCTCAGCCCAGCGTTACAGACATAATTATACAACCCAGCTCATAGCTCCTGCTCACCCGAAGTGACTGTCAGCAGCTAACTGCATGATCCGGCGGCCCACCCTCAGCCGTGCTGCTCCATGAAGTGCAGAGTGGGGTCAGATGGGGGGGGGGGGTACGGAGCGGGACCAGCCGTCCGTGTGGGCGTCTGTCCGCGCCAGCCGTGTGTCACTCACCGCCGTGTCATGGATGTCATCAACGTGTCAGCGCTGTGTCAGCCGTGTGTCAGGAAGGTATGTGAGCGACCGGTATGTGCACTGTGCAGAGGACCGTGCACCAGATCGGAAAGGTGATGTCATTTCAGTGCACAACGGACTTGGGTGGAGTGGTGCACGACTCACAACTCGGAACTGACGAGACGCACAGTGGCTTAGAATCATGTGTACACATAAGCAATTGTTTAAATATATAAAAAGTAATATCAAATAGCTAAAACTCGATATGTTTTTCCTTTTTTTGGGGAGCCGTATGACTTTCTTCGTGTGCCATTTTATTCGACTCGTTCGTCCTTTCGAGACCGAAGCCTGCATTCATCCTCATTCTCCCACTCAAACCTCAGTTTCTCCCTCACTCTCCTGGACAAACTTATCTTGTATACCGTCAAATTACCTCGATGGACATAGTTAGCCAGGGGACAGCGGCATTTGTTAGCGGTAATGTTGGCTACGGGTAGGGGGGGGGGGGGCAGGGCTTTCTATTCTATCGATAGTGGCTAGGAAGGGGCTATCGATTGATGCTGGAGGGGGTGCTGGTGGGTGCTTTATATCGATGTCGAATTTCGATCCTAGTTGACAGTCGCGTTTGTCGGAGCTTTTCAGAGGCATTTGTCGACGACAACGGGAGGTTTTACCAGGCGGGGTGCGGTGGTGATGCGAGCTGGTGCCGCCATTAGGGGTCAGGTTACACGTGGGTCTGGTGATGATCTTGGAGAAGGAAGGGGAGGGTTAGAAATCAGATAGGAAAGCTGAGGTTGGATGAAAATGACTGTCAGAAATCCATAAGCAAGATAATGTTGACTCATGACTGCATGAATTGCAAGAACGCTTCTACTTAAAGAAGCTGTGGTATGAAATGTCTCTCGTTTTTTTTGCCTGTCTTATCTTTTCTTCCCTTTGTCTTCATTTTTCTGCCCTCTCTCTCTCTCTCTCTCTCTCTCTCTCTCTCTCTCTCTCTCTCTCTCTCTCTCTCTCTCTCTCTCTCTCTCTCTCTCTCTCTCTCTCTCTCACACACCCGCCTCCATCCACCACCTCTTTGTTTCCTCATTCACGTCACGCCCATCAATGCAATGATTACATCACTGGCACCTATCAGATCCTCTCAGGGAGGCGCCCCACCAATTCCGTCCCGTTACAAGATCGACATCGACAGATCTCCCATCAAAGATCTGCCGAAAGTGCGACATACGAATCCGTTATGCCCTATCCATCACATAAGATCGGTCACGGCGTTGTATCAGGAAATGTATCTTGTTGTGTAAGCTGACGATCAGAAAGGACATGCGTCAGTCCCATGTGGCGAAGCTGACGCATCAGTTGATGATGTCGATATGAGACGTCGCAAACATCATAGGATGGCGGTGATTTCACGTCAGCAGTTATGATAACGCTCGGATCGCTGGCTGTATTTTACATGGAAGTAATATCAATATTCAAATAAGCATTTCAATGAACTGTTTACATTCTACACCCGTAGTCCAGTATCATTCTTAGAAATCTGACATCAGAGTACAGACACATCAATTGCGCTTGAAGTTTCATAGGGTTTAATATCGTTTGCATTACAATATTATGTTGCAATATTTCGATGAATATTTTCCAATGCAACCAGAAAATATATCCCTTTTCATTTAGTCACTAGCCCATTGATTAGGACATTTATCGAGTGGGACAAGTTGGCGTGCTTGGCAGACGCAGTCACACTTGATCCGCCACAGCACACGTCGCATCAGTTCCACCGTTCCACCACACATCAGTGACGTTATCAGACATCAGTTGGGTCATACCAAGACACCACACTTTCTGCCATGCCTGACCTTCCCTCCCTTCCTTCACACCCTTCCCCACAGAAAACTCCCAAGCTACCAAGCTATAGCACCGAGCTATACCAAGCCAGCACCGAGCTTCCGAGCAACACCGAGCGACACCGACAGACCTTCGCCGAGATTCGTTTCGCCCCCGCCTGGTCCGACAGGGGCCCGTCGCGCCTGTCGAACTGTCCGACAGCTCGGCCGACAGTTCCGACAGGGCCGCTGACAGCCGCCGCTGCGCCGCTATCGCCGCCATTCGTCACGGCCGCGCCGTGGCCGCGCCACACACTGCCGCCGTTCAGCGGATTATTTTCGCCGCGCGCGGCGAGCCTTTGACACCGATCCATTTCGCGTTCGTTTAGGTGCGACACACGGCAATATTTATCCTTTTTACGGGTCGTATATCATTTTAATAGTCGCTTCCGCTGAAAGTCGTCCTGCCGACCCGGCTGAGGCCATTAGCACTCATTTAACAATTGTCGTGTCAACATATGGCGTGTGGGCCAATCAGAGGCGGCGTTACAGCCGCACGGACCAATCAGCGTGCGCGACACAGCTTCAAAGCGCCGCGGCCGCTTTTGATGTCCGTCGTCGGCGTCAGTCGGTGTCGGACGCTCGCGACGGGAGGTCAGTCAGTGCGGGGACGCCGGGCGGCCCGCTGCTGCGACGCGACACGCGCGGAGAAGGTGCTCTCAGTTTACCGACAACCGCGCGGTGGTGGTTGAGCGTGAAAGACGGAGCGAGAGAGAGTTTATTGTTGTTTTTGTGTGGTGCTAGTCACCGTCTTGCGTGGCGAGAAACAACCGAGGTGGATTGTTTTCTGCTTCGCTGGAAGAAACTGCTGCACTTCCAGTTGTGAAGGCGTGAGAAGATCGGTGAATTGTGTGAGAAGTGTTACAGCATCGGAGCCATGGATATTCTAACCGGCTCAAATCAAGTCATCAATCCGGAATATGTTTCCCCACTGGTAAGTTTAGACGTAGAATAACAGCTGTTAAAAAGAATAGCAGCTGACACAACACAACTACATGTTAGCAGCGATCTGTGCTTGAAGCAGTGAGTCGGATAGATTCGGTAATCTTCCAGTCCTTTCCCTTATGCAGGTGTGGATTTTGGGCGTAGCCATATACATTGAAAGGGCTGACTCATTCATTCACTTCTCTCTGCCAGCACAGTGAATCCCGACGATTAAAAAGCTCTAGTCATTCGCATTCACTTCATATTGATGTATAGAGCCAGTAAGTCATCTGTCTTTCCACAGAAAAAGACTCCAATGAAATAAAATAGGTCGAATGTCGATGCATGCCGACTTTGCCGACTTTCGACAAACCAAGCTCCGTTCTAACTGATACCTCCTTTGACAGCGTGCATTCGTAAGGCATTTGAAACGCGAATTTATTTCACTGCCTATTCCTCTTGGGGAATCAGCGGTATAAAATTTGTTGGGTTTGAGTAGTATCAAATAAGATAAACTGGGCGCATGGGTAGAACGTGTCACGTCGATGCTGATTAGCTACAATATATATGCGTACCTGAACTTCGACCTCAATCAGTCAAACAAAAACAGCTTAAGTCAGTTTTAATAAGTCCATACACAATCCTACCATTTTCATACCAGTCTGAACCAGCATGAATGCTTTAGAACTCCGAGCGATCTCATTTCCTAACCAAATTCCTAAAACACTTCAACTTCAAAAGCCTTCATTTCACTCGGGTTAGCACGACTTGACAAAAGCATTATCTCAGGTTCGTCACATTGACAGAACTATGACCTATGACGGCCCGTCACTCATGTCACCTGTCACCTGTCAACTGTCAACTGTCAACTGTCACAAGGCCTGTCACCAGCACAGTTGCCAGACGGTTGGAATTTTGGGGAGACCGGCCTTCGGGCTGGCGGTGATGCGGTCCACGATTTATGTTCTTATTTTTATCCTAAATTATCAGAAAGGGCGATTTAACTGATCACAATTTTTTTTTTCAGTGGCGCGTTTATTAGGTACCGCTTTCTCCGGGTGGACGACGACTTTCAAATGCAATTAGGGACACTCGTCCCATTCGTGATTTTTTTTCCAAGATAAAAAGGAATTTTGAATGAAAATAAAACCACAATCATGCCACAGACATCCTGATCCAGGCATGTCAGCGGCATATTTTCCATTCGTATTTACATTCTTAAATTAACCCTCGCATGTGTGCGGCGTTTGCCAGCTTCTAATGTGTAGGGGGGGGGGTCGGTTGGACCCCCCCCCCCTTGCCGTTTGGCCCCTGATCGAGCTAGAGCTTCGCGGAAAAAACGAGCGTGTTGCCCGTGACGAGAGGAAGCCGATGATACCCAATTTTAAGGTCCTAGGTCATTGGTTGACCTTCCAGGTCAGGTCAATGACCCAAAGTCGGGAAAATCGGGACCTATTAGAAAGTCGTAAAGTGTGGCTGCTAAGGGGTATTTCGGGGTGCTGATCACGAATATCGTGTTAGTTTTGATCACAGATGATGTCTTTAAGCATTTAGACCAGGTCGGGTCAGGTCAGGTCAGGTCAACCAGTAGGGGTTGTGACGGGTATTCGTAGTACTTGTCAACCGCCTCTGACAGCTTCGTAACATGTTACGAAGGCACCAAAACTACTTCGTAAATGTTCAAATGGTTGCTAAATTCGAATTCAGCTCCAAAAACTAGCCTAGAAACATGTAAAACTCGAAAAAGTGAACCGAGGTCACCCGAGGTCACCAAAGGTCAATGACCTGACCTGACCTTCAGGTGACCTTGACACCCATTCTAATGCATGGGAGCAACATCAAATCACATGTTTGAACGTTTGAAACCACGAAAAGCTTGCAAACGCGCGGCTAATGCGAGCCGACATACGCGGAATCGCGATTCCGGCCAAACATGGTCTCGGAAAAGAGGTCACAGGTCAAAGGTCATTTGGGTCAGGGTCATGAAATTTTCAGGGTAGGTGTAAAATTGATCAATAAGAGGGTACTGAAAGTTTCGTCGCGATCGGCCGCTTTTTACGCGAGTCATTCGCGAAAAACCATGGGGGGGTCCATCCGACCCCCCCCCCCTACACATGCGAGGGTTAAGTGACCTCGTTACAATAATTGAAAAAGACAAACCATCACGTTGCCGTAACATATTACCGTCGGACATTGGGTTGCATTGCCGCAATTGTTCCCGAGAAGGCATAAAGCATTCTATTTTGGCCAGCATGACTAAGCATGCGAGTTTCATATACAGATGTGAAATATGACGGGAAAGTGTCATTAAACGTATTCAGGATAATTCCAGTGACCGTTAAACTACTCTTCTGCGATTGTTTTGTAAATTATGAACCATTAACTCATTACGGTATGTGAAAAGACCCACTTTCAAGTGGCTATATTTAGTTCAGAAATGTCGCGGTACTAAGAATAAAATTCAACTGTTATACGATCGTTAATGCCGGTCCAGAACGGTTGAACCTAAATAGCAATGGGTCGTTTATACCTGATTATAGCCGGGTAATTCTAACATAGAACATATACCTGGCTAAATCAGAAAGGGTGGCCTCAGTTCCTGTTCATTGATTTCTCATGTAACCTTCAAATTATTGCAGGGGTATAGCCGATGTTAGACATTTCTATCTTACGTTTTACCGTCTACAGTAGCTGACTAAACAGTAATTCAGAAACTAATATTTAGTTCCCACTGTTTGTAAGTGATCTGTGGCTAGAATATTACATTATTGACGTGGAGTGCCTCCTTCATGGAAATATGCTCCCTTGAACACCTTAACAATCTTCCTTTTTTTTTAATCGAGTGGCTTAACCATCGTTTCGAAGCCCACCAACAAAGTGTAACCGTTGTTCTCTGGCTGTTCCAGGAAACTAAGGAATCACCGCTGAGTCTGCTGGCCAAGACGTGCTCCAACATCGGCATGGATCAGCCGTCGCGGCTGACACCCGCCTCCAAACCGGCCAAGGAGGACTCCGCCGCCAAGTCGTCATCCCCTCCGGCCTCCTCTCCCTCCTCCTCCACCTCGAGGACATCAGAGTCGAGGAACCACTCCCGGAGGAGTCCTCCGACCTCCTCTCAGGGGCCGACCTCCCAGACCTCCTCCCAAGCGGGGAGCCGCTCCAAAGTCAGCTTCAAGCCGTATGAGTCTGTGACCAGTCCGTCAGCCGCCGAGCGGGGCAAGTCGCGCTCGCCGGCCGCGAAGGCCACCTCCCCTCGGCCGGCGGCGGCCGCCGTGGTGACGTCATCGCCAGCCACGTCACCTTCGGAGAAGGAGTCGCCCAAGCCGGCCACGTCGTACCTCTCTCCGTACGGGCTGGGGTCACCTCTGGACGCGCTCTATCTCCGCTCCGGACTGCCGCCGTCCGCGTGCAGGGACCCGCTCTGTAAGGGCTGTCTACCGGGGCTGTGCCCGACTGGATGTCTCCACTGTAAGACCCTCTCGGCGCTGCCTGGTACGCCTTCGCCGCTGGGTCTGGGTCTGTACCCGCCGCCGGGTCTAGTGGGGGGTCTCCAGCCCTACTGCTGCAACTGGTCCGAGGCCGGCACCTACTGCGGCAAGCGCTTCAACAGTAGCGACGAGCTGATGCAGCATCTGCGCGGACACACGGCCGCCGACGCGACGGTGCTGCCCTCTCCGCTCGGTTTGATGCTCCCGCGCGCCCCCTACAGTGCGGCCAGCGCACTATCGCCGCTGGCGTCGCTGGCAGCGGGGAGATACCATCCGTACGCCAAGCCGGGCCTGACGCCGAGCCTGGCTCCCAGCCTGCCCCCCAGCCTCGCGCCGAGCCTCGCCACGCCCTCGTCACTGGCGCTGTACCCGTACCTGGCCAACCCGTACCTGTACGCCGGCCTGAGGAGGTAGAAGTACGAGGGTACCGAAAACTGGACTCTAGTACTGCGGTACTCGTACTACCACCACGAGGTGTTAAGTACATCCGGGCGTGTAGAAATACTACGCTAGTATACGCACAATGGTACAGAGCGCTGGCTATCATTGCGCCGTGGTACTAACCTCGTGAAAGAACTCTGACCCTGGTGCTACGCTAGTGCTACGCTCGTACACGTACGAAGATGCTGGTACTGGACGCTAGTGCGAGGATCTGGCTGTGCGCTGTGACGAAGTTGGAATGGGTGGAATGGTTGCAATGGATGGAATGGTTGGGAAGACGGGTGGAGAAGCTGATCTGTTGGCAATAACCGAGCTTACGAGATGTGTGGAGAGCTGCCTCGACGACTTTCCACAGGGAGGTGTCGATGCGATGTGGCGCACGTGCTTGCCATCCAAATGAGAATGTTTTGTTAGTGTTCGACAAGGCCCTAAAATTTAGCCGGGACGCTGCGTTTGTCATCTTGGATTTGCTGTTCGAAAGAAGTGCGTATTTATACATTACGCAATACGCATGTTTTGTGAAAACAATGTGCTGGGAATAGTTAAAAAGCTGTGAAAGTTGTTAACAATCATTTTTTTCAGTTGCTTTCAACGCCAATGTCTTATGGTGACACGAGTCTTACAAAAATTCGAATGAGCGGGTTGCCAAACTGTTATAAATATGCCAACTGTCCGGATGCGATCATTGTTCGTAAATCGATATTCGCCGCTCGTGGAACTGCCATATCGCGAAGAAAACTTAACAAAGAACGGAGAGGCATAATTTGGGTGTGAGCTCCATGTGTCATTCGAACTTGTATTATCGCGTATTATATTATGCGTTAGCAATGCGATCGTGTTTTGTTGAGGCTGACATATCATTATGCACTGGTTGATGTGCATATAATCTAGCAAATACATACGCTACTGAAAGTAATTTGTACTGTTTCAATTGGGGATGGAATCGAGATCTTGACGTGATTGAAAGGCTTCGTAAAATAATGAGAATAAAACGTCAACATGGAATTTACCTCATTTAGATCAGGCAGCTGTGCCGTCGAGGATGGGCGGCCTATTACGTGGTTGCTCCGTTAGGCGGGGTTTGGCGGGTGGTTTCAGGAGCAGAAGCTGCTACCAGAGGGCGATCGGCCTTTTACTCAGCCAACGAAGTGTTTAGATCACGGAGGCGTCAGGCATGAGCCCAACAAGAGAAGTTCTCTTGTTAACTAAGCACAATATAGCCAAATTTATGAGAGAAACTTAGAATTATTGACAGAACAGAATTTAGTACATGCTTCAGCAATGTAGATTGTAGAATTAACCTAACATATTGTAATTTGAAAATCGACCCTGTATATTGTAATTGGCGGGGGCAACTTTTGCTATCTCATTACAACTACCAGGATGACCCTTTGGTTTTGGCTATGTAAATTTTCTCATAGCACAAAATTTAAAACGCAAGTTTAATGAATAGCCGAATAAATTCAGGGTCTCGGTTTCTGTGATGAGGTTATAGCCATTTAAATTATCCCTGAAGCAGCCAGAAGTAGAGGCAGCCCTAGGACAGGAGAAGAAGTAATTAGGAAACAAATGTTAATTTCAGTAACACCATGAATAAAATATTTATTTCGTAATGTCACCAACGGAGAATACTTCGGTGTTTTTCCAGAATGTGTCATGCTTTTGAAAAATGTCCTTCCTTATCCAAGATTACGGGAAGACATCATCCGATTCACTCCAATAAATTCCGCCACGTTCCATATTTGGTGTGAACATGAAAATCAATGGCATCCAGAATTACAACATAAATATCCTTTACGAGTTGCACGTCGTCTAGAGTATGTTGAGGCATCCCTCGTATTCCGTGATCTATTGCTGGTATAAAGGAACAAGATATGCTAATAAAACCTCTTCAGAAGCATGCTGCTAGAATTTTTAATATTTGTGTGGCAGCACTCACTGCATAGATGCATGCTACTCGAGCAGGGAACAGAGAAAGACATGAGAGAGAGAGAGAGAGAGAGAGAGAGAGAGAGAGAGAGAGAGAGAGAGAGAGAGAGGGGGGGGGGAGAGAGAGAGGAGGGAGAAAAAGAGGGAAGGAGAGAGGGAGAGATGAAAATAGATATGTTCACATGTTGGATATTCTATGGAAAGGAATGGTTATAACCATGTAGGTAATATTTCATGCATATGATTATAGAAGTTTCCAAACTCATCTTCTATATGAAAAATACCGAGCTGATATCACCTGGTGGCACCTGAAAACCTTTGCTATTTACTTACCTTCATGTATGTAGCTAAACTATGAACAAAATGAGCCTTTTCTTAAAGACCAGTCGGGAAGCATTACATGGAGCTTCTGCACCGTTTCTGGATAACATAAATTCGAGTAACCACCTTTTATCCCGCACCGTAGACAGTGTTTGCAATTGCTTCACGTGCAAAGAGAGAAAATTATCAGATGTCGTTTAAATGATTTGTTAAATGTCTAGTGACGATTAACAAACGTTAAACGTCTAGTAGACATTTCTGCCATTTTAACGTCTCGTTATTTTCACCAGTATGCGCAGGGAAACGCAATGAAACATCATTTTCCTTTTCTTTTTTAGTTCTATTTTTGTCTTCATCTTCAAGGTACCTGTCAATTTCAGACCGATCACATTGTTTGGACCGTTTTTCAAAGCTTCATCTGTCTCCGCTTCTATTTGTATCTGGCTCTGCTGAAATATGTCGTATTTTTATATAAAATGTATTTCTTACCTTTAAGCTCCCGAAAGATATCGGCGGTACGGGATAAAATTATTAAACCGCTCGGAGGTAGAAAAATCTTTTAAACGTCTCGCCTATCGGCTCGACGTTTAAAAGATTTGTTCTACCTACTCGCTGTTCAATATATAAATATGATGTTCCACTGAACTTACCTTATCTTATAAATTAGCAGAAATAGTCACTTACACAATACACATGCTTTGTTAAAAAAGAACCGCACTAAGCGACACCAAACAACGTTTAGCTGCCCTAATGCCCGCTGGAAAGTTATGAAGTGTGCAATTTCGCAAACCACTCGGGACCGAGCCAATTCGTTTCGCGACACTATGAAGTTTTCTAAATGGGACTCCGCGACACCGTTCCATTATATTTCTGCTGTTTTCTCGGGCAACTTCTAACAAGATTATCTCGCGGACAAAGTAACGTTTTCCACTTGTAACTAGATATTCCCGGTGGACACAATGAAACTGCAGTTAATTTCAGAAAATGATATGGGAGGCGGGTAAAACGAGCCAGATGTCATACGCCAGAATATCTCTTGTTAGCAGGGCGTACCGAGGCTCCAAAGCATTGTTGCAAGATTGTCATTGCTAGGGTAAGGTAAGACCTTTAAACCACTTTTTCATCCGTCCTCTATGCTGGCAATGCTTCGTTTCTAATTGCAATTCATTAAAATGAAAAATCTGAGCTTCGCGCAGAGCCGATGCCTCCTAAAACTACCAACAAAAGTAAACGCCCGATAACAAAATTTAGATCTACGATCGACCGTGAGCGCAAGCGTCTAAAAAATATAACGTATAACATATAACGTCTTAAAAATGTTATTTAGTTTCAATTTGATGAGTCAAATTGCAATTTAGTTCCCAAAATTTGATCTCAAACTGTCCTCGTTTAAACAATTCGTATTTTGTCACGAATATCAATAGCATCAAAAGCAGCATGCACACCACTTCATAACGTGCACAGCTATAGCTTTTCAGGCATTTCTTATTAGCCGAACTAGCAGACATTTTTTTAGTACCGTAAACGGGGGTGACTTTGCCATGTTTTCAACTTTAGACGCTTGTATTCTTTACACTTCTTAACTTGTTGGGATGACTCTATGTTCAAAACACGGATGAAGATTAGCTCTTTTGGTTTTGCTATTATCGTATTTATATCTTGCCTAAAAATATTTTTTTTTTTAAAGAAAATGAGTCGTGGCAAAGTTAAACTGAAAAAGGGGTGACTTTGCCACTATGTCAAAAACTGGTTGTTTAACGCTTGCAAATAATTTTAAGCATTTTTGTTGCATTGTATGGGGGAGGGCAACCATCTTTAATTGTTTAATAGGAAAAAATGAAGCAATTCAAAGTTCTTTGCTCTTAAATGATGTACATAAAACGAGAGATACATTTCTTTTATAATACATTATATTTGTTGAAAATTATTGACATTGATAGTAAATAGAAACTGAAAAATGAGAAACTGAAAAAGGAGTTCTCTGCGCGCCGCGCCCGCGTTCGGCTGCGGCGCCGGGAGCTCCGCTCCCCTCCCGTTTGCCCCGCGTCCCGACCTTTGTCCACCGCCGTGTGTGGTTGGAGGATTGTGAGAATTGTGTGGTTTACACCGTTGCTGCTTCGAGCGTGATTGAGTGCGTTAAAAGCTACCAGTGACTATGCTTCGCGAGCTAGCGCGAGCTCTGGTGTTCCTGGTGCTCACTCACCTTTTGGTTTCGGCTGCAAGACCTGCATCATTGCCGCCACCGACTGGCCGCTCACTGCTGTCGACGGCTTACGACGTCTGCTCCGCGCCCTCTCGCCGATGCCGACGATGTGCTGGCCGGCCGCTGTGCTCACCTGCCTCTGCGTGGCTTGACGATTGTCGTGACCTTGACCCTGGTCATGACCCCGCACGCGGTCGACCAGCGGCTGGCCGCTGTCGGCGCCGGGGTAGGCGGGGCCCTTGCGCTCGGCGCCGGGGCTGCAGGGGCGGCAGGTCGTGGCGGTCCGGCGGTCGGCGGGATGTTCTCGTCGGACTGATAAACATCCAGTCGCTGCTTCCGAAGGTGGTGTCACTGCAACACGATGAACTCCGCCGATTGGACTACGACTTCCTCGTCATTACCGAAACGTGGCTGAAGCGCTCCACCCCGACACGGCTCGTGACCTTCCCTGGGTTCACGCTCCACCGCGCGGACCGGCCTGGCGGCTCTGGCTTTGGCGGGGTGGCTATCCTGTGTCGCGACAACTACAGCTGCTCCGTTGTCCCCCAGCCGGAGCCGGAGTGTGCCGCCTGTCAGCTGGAGAGCCTCTGGCTTCGGGTGAGGCCGCCTGTCGGTCCACCGTTTACCCTGGCCGCCGTGTACCGGCCTCCACGCCGGACCGCGGCGGCACTCAGCGCGGACATTGGTGCACTTGAAACTCAGTACCAACGTGTTTTATTGCAATACGAGGGACCTGTTTTTATCATGGGTGACCTCAATTGCAATATGCTTGACTCTATGACTAACGCCGGCCGAGCTCGCCTGGCTGACATGCTTGAAGCTTTTCATCTGTTTCAATTCGTCTCACAACCCACATTCTCATCAGGTTCTTTGCTCGACGTTGTGATTTCCAATGCGGGCGACGGTGTTAAGAAAATAGGAGTTTTTAGATGCGCTTTTAGTCCTCATTGTTTTGTCCGATCACTTTTAAAGTTTACGAGATGTCGTCCAAAGCCCTGTCGTGTCCCCACTCGCAAATTGAAGGATGTCGACCGTACGCGTTTGTTGCATGACTTGAACTTCGCTGACTGGTCTAGGGTTTTTAATTCCGTTCCCGTGTGTGATAAGTGGTCTCATTTTCTTTCCGTTTTAGTTCCGATCATTGACAAGCATGCTCCAATCAAATGTATTACTATCAGGAACCCGAGCGCGCCACCTGTGACCCGTGCCACCCTCGACCTGATGGCACAGCGGCGGGGAGTGTTGCGTCGCGAGGGCAAATCGCCGGCCTTCCGCGATCTGGATAGGCAGGTCAGGTCAGCCATCCGTCGTGACTGCTGTGCGGGTATCGAGGAGAGTCTGCGTACTCGAGGGAGCGGCTCCCTGTACCGCAGTATCCGACCCATTCTGACAGGGAAGAGGGACGGCGCGCGCAACCTCCCCGCCGCTACACCGGACGAGATGAACGAGCATTTTGTGAGTGT